AAAATGTCTATATAATATTTTTTATTTTATTGATACTTTTATTTTTATTTATATATAAATTTAAATAAATTATTTATATAAAATGTATTTATATATATATATATAATATTATTCACATTTTTAAAAATGTCTATATAGTTTATAATGTAGTATTAATTTTTAGTTATTTTAGTACATCAAGTTAAACCTGATGTAAAAAAATGCATATATATACATATAATAAATATTTTTTATTGATTAAAAAAAAAAGTCTATAATTATGTCTTTTCCCCCCTTTTTTTCCAAGTATTGTTTTTTTTATTTATATATTATTTTATTATTATTATTTCAGGTAATGCAAAATGTTTTTTTGTATCTGACCTCGTTGAAGGGTGAATCTCATAAAGTCCAGGTCATATTTCAAATCAAAATCAGAGAAAGTAAGAATATTTTAGTATTTTGCAGTCCTATTTTTGTAGATTTTTGTGACATTAACATGACATTAAACCCCAAAGTACTGTAATGCAGAACTCTCATTCTCTTGCGTCACGTTTCAGTAGTAATCTTCATGACGTGGACGTTTCTTCTCAGTTGTTTGGCCCTGCAGCTGCGTATGTTTTAGTGCAGTGGTTTGTCCTTGAATGAGTCGCTCTGTTCTTCACTTCAGGCTGTTCTGTTTGTGGTCCGTGTCGGGTCAGTCCAGTGCCTGTAAATATAATTCACTCGTCTCTTTCCTGTTCCTCCTCCTCTTTTAAAACTGTCGGCCTGCTGAAGACTCAGAGTAAGCGTGTCAGGATCGCCGTGTGGCCAGCAGCTCTAGCGTGTTTGATTGACGTGTGGACCGTCTGGTTGCAATAGTGACGCATCTGCAGTGACTCAGCGGAAGATGAGAGTGTGGCTCTTGTGAGCGTGTGATGATGAGGATGAAGATGCTACACTGATCATGTCCTGCAGGGGTTTAATGCAGTGTTGATGCGCTCCTGCATCAGATCTGCACGTTTGCAGTGAATGTGGATTGATTTCTGCTTCTTTAACCACCTGAGGCTCTCAGTAACAGCCGGTTTACCGTCCACAGAGTTAAAGTGACCGAGTACGTCATGACTTCTGCAAACACACAATCAAAAAATGAACAGTCACTGATGGTCCAGGAAGAAACATGTGATATTAAAGAGTATGCAAGTTGCTTGTATGTTTGATCAGACTGACAAAAGGGAGAACACAGTATTGGAATTAAAAATAATAACACTAAATGATCATTTTAAGTATATAGCATGCTGCAGTGTGATGTGTTTATTGTTTGCGTGCTCTGTGTGCAGTCCAGTGGAAAAACCCCAGTGGCGTCACGTGACCCGTGTGTGTTTGAATCATTGATGTACGAGTCCATCGCTGTGTCTCATGTATGTAATCAGTGCAGTGATCAGCATCGGTCTGGACTTCAGCTGATTCATTCAGTGATTCCTTATTAATATTGAACATGAAACCTCAATCTGACTCTCTTTACTTTCTTAAATGATGTTCTTGGTCTTGAATCATGTTCAGTTAATAGTCATTCAGTTTTGTTCACTTAGGCTTAGTGCTCACAGTCACATCAGTGCTTCACTCTGAAATCACCTTACAGAAGTCAAATGGTTTCCACTATTAGGAAATGAAGCTGAAGACTGCAGCGCTGCTTTGATATCTCAATCTAGCGACAGTATTTCTGCTTGTTTTGTATTGTCTTGTTATTAGCTGATATTAGGCGCTGTCTTGATCTTAGGAAGGTCCGGTTATTGTCATGCATGTTTTGTATTTGAGTTGCATGTTGTTTTCTGAGATCATGAGTGACTCAGGTGTGTGATGGAGTTGATCTGCAGAAGCTGCAGTGCTGTATTTGTCCTGTAGGTGTCAGTGAATCTCCTCTCACAGCTGCGCTCTGTCGCATGCTTCACTGCAGCCCTGTGTGTGTGTGTGTGTGTGTGTGTGAGAGTGTGAGTGTGTGAGTGTGTGAGTGAGTGAGTGTGTGTGAGTGAGTGAGTGAATGAGTGAGTGAGTGAGTGAGTGTGTGTGAGTGAGTGAGTGAATGAGTGAGTGAGTGAGTGAGTGTGTGTGAGTGAGTGAGTGAATGAGTGAGTGAGTGAGTGAGTGTGTGTGAGTGAGTGAGTGAATGAGTGAGTGAGTGAGTGAGTGTGTGTGAGTGAGTGAGTGAATGAGTGAGTGAGTGAGTGAGTGTGTGTGAGTGAGTGAGTGAATGAGTGAGTGAGTGAGTGAGTGTGTGTGAGTGAGTGAGTGAATGAGTGAGTGAGTGAGTGAGTGTGTGTGAGTGAGTGAGTGAATGAGTGAGTGAGTGAGTGAGTGTGTGAGTGAGTGAGTGAGTGAGTAGCTGAAGGATGTGCTGCACGACTCGCTCCCATCATGACTCTTATGTAAGAGCACAGAGACTTCAGCATGACTTCAGCCAATCAGCATGACTTAGCAACAGTTGCTATGTGAGTGATGAAATGTGAGAAACTCTGGATGGTGGACAGATAACATGGATTTGTTTTTCTTCAGCATCAGTGTTTTAGGTTGAATGTATTTAAATGAGAGGATATATTTTAGATCACAGTTCTTGTTTTCAGCATTTTTAATGAGCTTTTAAACCATTTAGCGGACGCTTTTATACAGAGTGACTCAGCAGTCCTGCAGTGTGACAAGCGTTTTAAATCTTGAGATCTGAATGAGCTCATATATGGATAATAATTCAGCGTGTCACACCGCAGGCGCTGATCTGACAGCGAATCGCACAGGTCTGACTACTCACACACACACACACACACGCATGCACGCACACACACTCAAACACACTCACACACACACACACACACACACGCATGCACGCACACACACTCACTCACACACACACATGCATGCACGCACACTCACTCACACACAAACATACACACACAAACATACACACACACACACACACACTCTC